CCTGGACCCACACTGGCCCCCACCTGAGGGGCTAACTCTGGGCAGGGGATGTCTTTGTTGCCTTATTACTGAAGCAAGTGGCAATAATAGGAAAAAAGACTTGGGTCCCTTCTTCCCTTCCAGGCACCTGGGAGTCTCCTGCTGGCTCTGCCTCTGCTACTTCTCACACCATCTCCTGGCTCTGCCCTCCAGGGCTTTGCTCCCAAACCCAGATCCTCTGGTACTAACTGGTACTCACCAGTACAGATTAAAATGATGCCCTTCACGTCCTAGTCCCTTACGTCTAAATTGCTGCTGTTTACTCTGATAAAGCATTCTCTTCTAAGGCATGAAAGAATGACCCTAAATTATTGGGTGAAGTTTCTGGGAGGATTATCTTCTTTCTAAAGGGTGGGAGGACTGTTCTTTTGAATAAGGCCACTTAAGTAAAGCTCAGCACACAATGAGCTGGAGATGCCATAGAGAGACTGTTCTCACCTCCTGTACAGAGTGTTCCTCTTGAAAACAACAACAACAACAACAAAACCCCCAAACCAACCAAAACCAATTTCTCACTCTAAAAGAAGGACCCTGATGAAGGGAGTCTATCTTATACTGCTTCTCAGGATTTAAATACTTGGGTGAGACTTCTGTCTGGGGAAATGGTAGCAAGGAGTAACCAAAGACTATAATTACTCATTTGCCCCTAGAATGCTCCGTGCCCTGCAGACTGTAAAAAGCAGAGAGTGAGTTGGGGAAAGGCACTTATGCTCCCAAGGGCCGGGCAGGTGGTGATGGTGGTGGGGATCAATAAAATAGCAACCTCTGCAGGCAATCTTGTGAAAGGTCACTTTTAATCATCTTGTATTTGTTGATCGATTTTACTCACATGAGACACATTTAAAACATCTGTTAGGCACAGATATATAAACAAACAAGTAGCAGAAGAGATCACAAACCTGCTGGATGTTTCCCCTTGTTCTTTCCTTCAGGTGCGTGCAGACAGAAGAGAAATGATGATAAACTGGTGAATACATTTATAGCACTTGATAATGGCCCAGTTGGGGATTGGGGACACAAGTACCTTAAGTAATTCTTTTCAAGCAAGATCCATGGAAGCGTTTTTAAAATAGTAAACCTATCCAACTTTTTAACATTGATTCTTTGAGGCACAGACCAGAGATAGCATAGCATCTACTTAGCAAAAATAATATTGCCTACATGTAACTAAAAGCTATGAACGCTTCAACAGCCAGAGTTATGCGTGGCTACGAAGAAGTGGTTCTGATCTAACCAGCATTAGCAGAGAATCTTAGAACGGTGCTGGCCACACGGTGGCTGCAGTCCCTGTGCTTTAGACAGGGTTCTTAATCTGGATTCACTAATGGGTGACTGGTACCTCAGTCACTTGGTGAGGCATGTGTTGTTTTCCTATTGTATAAAGTATGACTTCTCTTGGGGCATATTAGGCACATAGAAAGTCTGTTAGAACTCTTCCAGCCTAGTGTTGGGTGGTGTTTTCAATTTTCGCAAGTTCAGGTCTATGCGACATGGTGTGAATGATCTGTGTGTCCTTGAGTGGACACTTTACTTTCTTGTGGGTTTTGATTTTATTAGTAATGATTTTCTTATGAATAAATTGAAGGCATTGGATTAGATAATATCTAAATTCTGACTTAAGATACCATTGGGAATCCTTGGCACTTGATAGTTCCCTATAGCTTCATAAAATATCTGACTCATTCCCTAAAATGACACATTTACCCGTGTTTCACTCTTTGCATAGCTTTCATTCCCTTTGAGAAGAAAATCAAGAAAAATATGTTCCCTCTAGAAATCCTTTTGTTATTAAAACAAAAATTTGAAATAGCAAACTGTGGAGACCTCAAAGGACATGTAAGAGACAAATCAGACCTGAGAGGAGAGTAAGAAACTGCTGGGCGTACCCTTGGCAGGTTTGAGTGGGTACAGGAAGCCCCTCACCATGGCCTCTCTCCCCTATACAGTTCTCACACCTCTCTCCTATCTTACTCCCTGGGATGAGGTTGTGGGGTCAGAGCATCCCATCATATCTCTAATACTGTGGGGAACAAGAGCACGGTGGGTGTTTTTTTAACGATAACAGTGATGATGCTAATCTATTGGTAATATGATCTTTTTGCTGACCACCTATTTAAAACCGCAGCCACTAAAGCTTCTTAAATTCCTTCTTTATTTTACTTTTCTCTTTAGCACTCATCACTTTCTAATCTATTAAATATTTTACTTATTTATTTGTATTGTCTCTTCCCAGCATCCCTTGAATATATGTTCCCCAAGGCCTGAGATTCTAACCCATTTGTTTTTCTCTTCCTCTGCTGCATTCCTAGTGCCTGGAACAGTATCTTGCACATAGTAGGTACTCAATGAATCCTTGTTGAATGAATGAATGCATGAATGAATGATCTCTCCCTTCAAAAGTTTTTAAGCCCTGAATGTTATAGGGAAATACACTATGCAAACAGAAAGATGTTTTGGTCTGTTTCTTACTACATATCCCTTTTTGCTCATAAGCCACTTAGTTTTACAAGTGTAAAAATATCCCTTGAAGTCACTGTGAATTATTTACCTCACAATCCTACACATTTGATTAAAGCAAATTTGCTTTCTAAAATAAAGGTTCTGAACTTGGCTTCAGGGAGTTTATGACTACATTAAANGTCACTGTGAATTATTTACCTCACAATCCTACACATTTGATTAAAGCAAATTTGCTTTCTAAAATAAAGGTTCTGAACTTGGCTTCAGGGAGTTTATGACTACTGAAGGCAAAGTTTTAATTTTTTATGCAGCAAACATTTTTTCTTGGGAAGGAATCTGTCATTACTATCACATCCTCGATGGTTTAACAAAGAAAGACAACAAGAAGGGTTAAGAACCACGACAGTCTGTGACAATGAAGCATGGCTGGTGGGAGAGATGTTAGGACACCAAGGATCCCATGAACGTTGCCAGTGACTGCTGTGCCTTCTGGAAAACCCCTGTTGCTCAGTAAGGGGGGCTGAGCCTCCCGGGCTGGTGAGGGGTGCAGGGAAGNGGGGCTGAGCCTCACGGGCTGATGAGGGGTGCAGGGAAAGGAGGCTGAGGGGGATGGCTGATGGCCACTGTGGAACAGGGTGAATGCAGGTGCTCGCATAAATTCTCCACTCCTTTCCCCACTCAACACAGAAAAAATATCAAAGGAAAAGAGAGAAATTATATAAGTAAAACAATAGTTTATGCACTCGAAGAATCTGACTCATTATTAAATAGTTCTTTCTAAGCTTCAGAATGAGTTTTAGTTCAAAAACTGAGGAAGGGGGAAGCCAAACAATCACATGTGATGACAGACCACACTCCATGTCATGAGAGAACATTCTTTTGGTTTTCCTGCTAACCTTCCTCTCATGCATCTACCTGGAAACCTTCATGAAGGAAAGAAATACAATTTTTATGTAATCCCCGTTTTTGATTCATACACCAAGAAAGATGGCACAAGTTATATTCTCATTTTTTTATACTTCAACTTTGAAAGAGTCCAGTAAAAGGGAATTTAAAACTAAGTATTAAGATCTGAACGACAAGAGGGTTCTCGCCCACCCATGCACTCAACAGCATCCATGCTTCTGTCCTTGCTGTGGCTTCACCCCCTTTAAAATCCTGGCATTCTATGACCATCTCTGTCACAGGTGCGACAAAACTGTGAGACCAACATTTCGGAGACGTGTCTCATTAGAGCTTAGAAGTTATCCTGCCCAGCTCTTGCCCTTCACCTTGCCGATGGGCACAGTGAAGCCCAGGGCTGCAGGCCCCGTCGGTTAAGGGTGGCTCTGCCCTCAGCCGCGTGCGTCCTGCTCGCACACAAACCTTGGAGACCACGATTCCAGGGACACTCATGAGGGCTTCTCCAGCCGATTTCTCTCCCACATCAGTGGGAAAGACTTTCTCTGACTGAGTCACAGGAATTAGGTGCCTTGAATCCCATGATGCCACTAGGATGAAGGTTTTGTGAGCTACGTAGGGAAACGGCTGGCTCTCTAAAATGCCAACTCAGATAAGCAATTAGGTAACATATCCCAGGGACTGACCATTGTAACCAAGTTGGGTGACTCATAGAAAGCCTTTCTCTTGACTTACTTACTTTGGTTGTTTCAATGAAGAGCTCTTTAATTAGATGGTGATTATGACTTAATATGTGCTCTGTTAACTCGAGTACAGGATTCCAGGATGAAGGATTTTTTTTTTTTAAATTAAAGTTCACTGTGGTAACCATCAGGGCTGTTCATAATTTTTCTGGTTCTCCTCTCCTTCCAGGCATGTGGCAGCACAGCACTTCCCTGTTCTCTTAGAGTTTAGGCATGGCCAGATGATTTGCTTCGGCCAATGAAATATGAATGCAAGTAATATTATTTTTAAATTGTGAATGCCAATTCCAAATTTTAATCTGTTTGGTCCCATCGCTTCATTGTAAACTGTAATCCTACTAGGACTCAACTCTTCTCTTATTTTGCTACTAATATTAGTTTGATCTGCAAGTGAAAGCTTGGGGACCATCCTATAAGGGGATCTGGATGAGAAATGACTTTGAGGAACTTCAATGTGCAAAGATATATTGCTTTCAAAGCACAGCCCGCTTGGGGTCAGGTGATGGATGGAGTTTAAACAATCATTATTTTTCAAAAATAGTGGTGCTTACCTTTAGAATTCTGGTGGGTTTTATGAAAGGAGATATTAGAAAATAAACATGAAATTGTAGAAATAAATCTCTATAAAAGTTTAAGTTCTTTTAACCTTTAAACCCCATCTATGTATGGATGGTGAGGGACGATACTGAGTCCCTTGAGTTTTGGGCCTGAGTTGCTACTAAACAGGTTTGAAAGAGAAGCGGAGAATAAGACAAGCCCCAAACTGACACTGTGTGCAAATGCGTGAGTATGTGTATAGTTTGTTTTTCAAATTTGAAGAGACTCGACTACAGCACCAGCTGTCACACTGATACCTACTTGGTAGGGCTGCAGGTGTGCAGGGCCTTCAAGTGCGGCTTCCAGGTTGCAATGGAAACAGATTTCTCATCAGCTGCGTAACTACGCCAGACACACTGCATGTGATATGCATGGGGACATAAAAAAGAAAAATAAAAGAGAGAAGAAGATAGAATGAAATAAAAGGCTATTATTAAGTTAATACATATGAAGAATATTTTCCTTGTCATACTTAGGGTGACAGCCACTTTGCCATTTTCCGCTGGCTATTAAACATACTCTGCCACACCAGTAGAATTGCTTTTCAAAACAACTCACACCAAAGAACAAAAAACTAAGAAGTGTAACATGAAGCAATTTTGGAATTGGTTGGGGAAAGCTATGGTATTATCTGAGGTAAACTACCTGAGCACGAACATGCACTGCAGGGCCCAACTGTACATCTTTAACTTTGTTTTTTTCAATCCTTACCCGACAATACTTTTTCTGCTGCTTTTCAGAGAGAGTGGAAGAGAGAGAGAGACAGAGAGAAACATCGATGTAAGAAAGACACATCGATTGATTGCCTCCTACATGCACCCCGACCAAGGGATCAAGCCTACAACCAAGGTATGTGCCTTTGGCCAGAATTGAACCCAGGACCCTTCAGGCTGCAAGCTAACGCTTTAACCACTGAGCCAAACCGGCTAGGGCCAACTGCACATCTTTAATCACTACTTTCTAAGATGAATGGAAACAACTACTGAAAACGCACAATGCAACTAGTAAATTAACTAGTAAACTAGCTAGTAAACTAATGACCACTAGGGTATGTTAATGATTAGTGAAATTCCACAAAGTTGAACTATGCAACACTTCTAGTGCTAAAAATGAAGATAGTGATAATAAAAAGCAGGGCTAAACAAGATAGAGGAAAATGTATTCTCTAGGAATATAACTGGAAAGCACATAAGGATTTAATGTCATGGTCTAAGAGCATGTTTGCAGCTCCTTGTTGTAAAACATAAGCTCTGTCCACTTCATATAATTATGCCTGACATATATAGTATGAAGTATTTTCATGCAATCCTTGCAGAGTGTGAATTAAGACCTCCTATTTTATAGATGAGAAAATAAAGGCTCAGATAAGATTAGAGGTTTACTCAGGGTTGGTAGGGTTGACATTATCTCAGGTGGCCTGGCTCTTGCTTTTGGAATTCCTCCACTGTCCTTCGCTGACTGCTTGCTGACTGTTGGAAAGCTTCCCTCTAAACTGTCCATTGCCTGAACTGTCCATTCCATATAGATTTTGGCAAATCTCTTCCTTTGTAGTAAGTCTGAAAACATTTCTAATGACCAAGTGTTTACTCCAAAATCCTGAGAGAAATTTTTAAATAATAATTCATAAATGAAAGCAATCTATGTGGAAAATTCACTTAAACAAGTCATATTCCTACTACATAACCACCATTCACAATTGTGAAACCTACAATGAAGAAAACAGTGATCTAATAATGTTCCTTTTCCTGAGAATATCATTGAGTAAGTGTGTGCTGAACAAAAAGTTAAAAATCAACACAAGTACTTTGGAAAACTGTCTGGCAGTTATCTCTCAAAGCTGAACACATACAGACCCTATGACATAGCCACACACTCCTACATATATACTTGTATGTATATGTTTACACATGTTCACTGAAATATATGTACTATAATGCTGAAAACAACACTAATCTTCATAAACCAAAGCTGACATGCTCAAACACCTATCAACAGGAGAATTAGTAAGTATACTGTGAATATTAACATAATGGAACAATACACAGTAAGAGTACACTATAGCTACACTCAAGAATATGCAGGAGCTTTGCATGAATAATGGTGAGTGAGGGAAACAAAGACACAAAAGAGTACATGCTGTGTGATTCCATTTCCATAAAGTACATAAAAAACCCCCTCAGGGGAAACAAATTTTTAAAAGGGAGCACAGTGGTTACGCTTGGGGGACAGTGATTGAGAAAAGGTACAGAAAGGTCATATTCCGTTTCATTATCTGGGAGATGGTTACATACACCAGAGTGCTCAGTTCTTTTAGGATATGTGCTTTTTTCTGTATGCACATTACACTTCAATAAAATGTCCAAGAAGTGATATTAAAAACTAAAAAAATATATAGTAGGACCTGAGGGTTTTTTAATATTATTAAGAAAGGCTTAAATAATTGAAGCAGGGCTCCTTGCCTAGAGCCTTGCTCATATGGCTCATGTTGATTTATCTTAGAAATCTGTGAAATCTGTGAAAACTTATGCTAAGCATTTTGGCATCTTATAGAGAATAAAGCAATTATCACTGTATCAGTGTTAGTTTTTGCAAATATTGTTCAAACACAATTTACAGAGTGGTCTAGAGTAATCAATGAAAACACATGGCTATATTATCGCAGCTTCTTCTGTAGTGAGGCCCAGAGAGCCTCCATTGCCGCAATGGTATATAGATGGCTGCTTTAATTAACAATTGTCATAGAAGGCACCATATACACATGAACTCAGATACTTTTAAAGCAAGACTCATGAAGAACTAGGAGCACACAGCAGGTCTGTGCATTATTAGATACCACTAAAAAAAAATCCACAACAACACAACAGAAAATGGGACCAAGACATCACCTGCCAATGCTGTAAAGAACTGGGAACAAAAGAGGCCACTCTTAGAAAATTGAAGATTTTCTTGACAATGCAACCTGGCTTCTTGCTCTTTTTCTATCAAATTGATCTCAATGGCTAAACTCTTATTACTTTCACTACCCTTTCCCTAAACATGTCTTGAAAATGGAAGGTGCAGGAGGAGCAAGTGGCATCTACCTCAGGGCTGATATTAGTTAACAGTCAAAGTGGAAATGTAAAGTGTAACTCTATTACTCTTATACTCTAATAACTTTGTCCTGTCCTTAGCTCTATCTCTTCTAGAAGCTGAACCTCAAAACCACAACCATAAGATCAAGTAGCTAATGTTCCCATAGTTCAAGCCAAAATCACATAGTGGTTGTTAAGAAAAAAATAATATCCCAGAGGGATTTAATTTACATGGACTGTATACTCCAAAGGACAAGTCAACATGGAGCAAAATGAAAGCCAAATTTACCACTTATCAGGTGACTTCAGAGCTCTAGGCAGCCAAACAAATCAAAATTTGGTCTATAATTATAACAACAATATCAATATAGTTAATTTTTTAGGGAGTATTTAGTTTGTATAATCTGGAGTATTACAACTATGGCACATTTGACCCTTTCTGCAAATTTTAATTTCAGCTGGCCATCCAAAGGTATAATTAACATGGAACTGATTATTTTCAGGGTACACAAGAAGTCAGAGATATAAAAGATTCAGGATGAAAAACAGTAATCCCTTTCTCTACCTTGCTTCTCACTAATTATTGTTCCTTAGAGGTTACTGCCTTTGATTCTTACAGTTGTTGCTATTTTTAGGAATCCTAATTTCTAAGGATTGTTCTCATACTTAAAAAATTTCTTGATTTTTGAATTTTAGGCGCTATCAATTAACTTCTTACCACGAAAAAGAATGATATCCTACTTACACACTCACTCTCTTCCCTTCCTCTCATTCTACCAACAATTTTTAGTTAAGTTACTATTTAGTGTTTGCTTTATTATAACTCTGTAACCATATATATATGTGTGTATATATATATATATATATATATATATATATATATATGGCTGCAACTGCTGCTCTTTGAAAGGAGTAAAGGATCCAAATTCAGATACTAGTGATTTGAGTCCTACCTCTTCCTAGGCTTGTCCTTAGTATCAAGTGACATAATGTATTAGAAACATTCTGCAGACTAAAAAGCACTTCACAAGTCTTAGGTGTTATTAATAAAAGTTGTGACATTTGGGCAGGTATTCAAAACGTTGGTGAGAGCTGCTTTCTTTTCCCAGACTGCTCCACTTGAGATGAAAAGTTAATTTAAATGAATCATGCAAAGATATTGACATGGCTAAATTTGCTGCAAGCTGCTGGGGTGGGTTTTAAACTTTTCCCTAAAACCCTGAAATGCTGGTTAATTTAGTTGTCTCGCCAACCAAATGACAAAGCAATTTGGGCATTTTGGTGCCCTTTTAGAAAGATAGTTGCTCTGGCTTAAAACTAATGACATTGCTCTTGATCTGGATGCTTTGTGTGTTCAGCAAACCAAGGCAGGTTTATTGGGTGAGAAAATAAATGGATCAGCAAATGAGGCTTGCTTTTCAATCTAGTGCATCCTTAAAAATAAATTTCTATAATATATAATCAAGGTTTAAAGCCCTGAATTCTGGCTAAGGATTATCAAGGAGGAACAGTGAATACATTTAATTATATTATTATTCCTATGACTAATAGATAAATTAATTGCATTTGGATGGGGGAAACAATTGCTTTTTAAATTAGTAGATTCTACTTTGATTACTGAAACTATGATTAGGTTTTAAAGGTGTTCTTGAGTATTTCAAGCCTTTCATATATATTTTTCCTCTCCCTTTTAATTCTTACCCAAGGATATGTTTCCATTGATTCTGGGGAGAGGAAGGGGGGAGGGAGAAAGAAACATCAATGTGAGAGAGAAACATCAATTGGTTGCCTCCCCTGCTTGCTCCAAACTAGAGATTGAATCCACAATCCGGGTTTGTATCCTGATTGTGAATCCGACCGGCGACCCTTAGGTGCAAGGGACAAGGCTACAGCCAATTGAACCAGCCAGGGTTCAAGCCTTTTATTTTATAGTCTTTTTTATTCAGAACAACACATGAGCCAAAGTTTTAAGTAAAAGAATTATTAATGATTTCACTCCATTGTTACCCTACTTTGTACAAATTCAATCATTGATCACAATATGTTACATAACTGAGTTCCATAAAAGAAACTTCTCGATCTCCAGGCAAAACTGTTCAGTTAGCCTCTTTACCTTTTATAGATTACCTAAGATGAAGGCATTGCCTTGCTTAGGCTGTGGACATATAAATGTCTCTGGTACAATGACTTTCTGCAGGAATAGTAGTCTATTTTCAAGTTTAGTTGGAAATTGTTTTTGCACAGTTTAGTAGTTGATAATGATAAGTTAGATTAGGAAAGTTCCTCCTATTAGTCTCTATATCTGCCTTGTGCAATATGATGGCCAATAGCCACACATGGCTATTGAACACTTGAAATGTGGCTAGTGTCACTGAGGAATTGATTTTCTAAATTTATTTATTTATTTTTAAATATGTCTTTATTGATTTCAGAGAGAGGAAGGGAGAGGGAGAGAGAGATAGAAACATCAATGATGAGAGAGAGTCATTGATCGGCTGCCTCTTGCACGCCCCCAACTGGGGATGGAACCCGCAACCCTGGCATGTGCCCTGACCAGGAATCAGACTGTGATTGTCGATGCCCATGCTGGCTGGGCAACTTTCTAAATTTAAATAGTCAGTACATCTGAAACTAATATAATCTTATATGTCAATTATATACTTCAATAAAAAATAGAATGGGAAAAAAATATAGCTAGTGGTCACTGCACTGGGCAGCACAACTCTATATCATCACAAGGAATGTATGCATAGAAATCCCTCAGAGGGCTCACTTTCTAACAGAATAGCTAATACCCTAAGATGTTTGTTTTGATACAGAGTCCCCCTTTCATACCCAGAGGTATCAAAAGTAGTTGTATTTTGAGTATGTGTTGATTGAGAAAACATATAGTAAAAAGCTCATAAATAACTTAGTAAGGGTTTTAAATAAATCTGAACTTTTTTCATGCATAAGTAGTCAAGATATATCATTGGTTCCAGACATAGCCAGGGCTTGTTGCCTGGATGGATGAAAGGAACCCAGAGAATCACTTCTACATTCACAGGTTGGAAAACATTGTTCTGGAATTAAAATAAGAAATAAATAAAAAGGATAATTAAAAGATAAAAACAGTAAGGAGAAAAGTTCTTTAAAAGTATGCAGACGCCTTCATGATAAGTTAAGAATCAAATGATGGGGGGCTATCAGTTCTGAGGGGCAGCTGTGTGCACACTAGAGTGTGTGACACCTCTTTCATCATTTGGCTTTAGATCTTAAACTCCTACCACTTAGGGATCTTTTCCTTCAAGAAAACAAAGCTTACTTTATCTTTAGTGCTCTTTTAAAACCTGGAAATTAAAAAAAAAAATAGAGACTCTCAGTGGTTCCCATTAGAAGTCATGCCCAATGGTCAATTTCCTTGTCAGTAGTTGCAGAATAACTTGATTTAAAAATTAATATCCTCAGTTAGTGATCAGATACAAACCAGATCTCTTTCATAATACAACTGAACCATGCTCACTCCCTTTTCCCCCTTGCTCCATTTCTGTTGGAGGTACTTCATATTACGGGCACAGGTAAAGGCCAAGGGTAGGGTTGTGTAGTGGTTCCCCAACTCCACAACACACCCACTTAAACCTACAGTCTAAATTAAAACAATGTGCATGTTACTACCTCATGGAGACAAGTCTCCAGCACCTCAGATTGACATCCCAAGCCCCTTAGTTAAAAGTTCTGGATCTCTGGCAGGAAGGGAGGAAACTAGATTGTATAATCATTGTGTCCATAATTAAATACCAAATCCATCTTGTGGATCTATAAAAAGATACATTTTGTTTCTTAAACAACTTGGTTCTAGGATGGTGCTACTTCCACAAGATACGGATGACAAAGGAGGAACATTCCTTTTAATGCTGAAGCAAATCCTGAATTACAGACAATAAAACAAAATGTTAAGCTATAAATTATGTTAGCTTTCAAATAATATGCTTATGATTTCATATTCTCAAACATTGATGTATTCCATAATCCCATCAGCTCTTAAAATAACTATTTCAAGTAATTGCTCTGGATGGCATTAAAAGTGATTCCACAGGTACTAAACCTTGACATTCTAAACAAATACGTTGTTCTGCAGATCAGTGGCATCCATCTGGCTGGAGAAAGTAATTGTAATGCAGGGAACAATTCCATGTTCTGCTCCATCACTTAATGATCAATTACATTTCACTGAGTAATTCATAAGACATATTGGGTTATTCCAGGAGCAACACAGCTGCTAACCTCGGCATGGCCTTGCTGGCGTGGCTAATTAACCTGAACAACTGGACTATTTACTGAAAATATATATTATTTTTCTGTTGGGGGACATTTGCTCAAATCCAAGAATGTATATTAAGTTAAAACTTCATTTAAACAAAACAAAACAAAACCACACAGCAAAACAAAACAGTAGCTCTACAAAACAGTGGAGCACAGAGATTGGAAAATGACCCGGCAAGCACTTACAGAGACAGATGTTGCCATCTGCCTATTACACTGACATTTACCTGAATGAGGTTGGCAGCTGGGTTCCTTCTTTTCTCAAAGTGTTTCTGGCGGTGCTGTTCTTGTACTTTTAATGCGAACCCTGAGCCAAGAATGCCCTGGAACAAAATACAAAAATAGTACTCAAGCTTTTTTTTTTTTCAAAAGCAGTGTTAAAAATACAAAAATTAAAAAACCAACAACCTCTAAATTGAGCCTGAGAAAAGATAAACAGTATGCAACCTGTCCATAAATATTAAAACAAACTTATTAAAACAAACACTGTTAACCTCTATTATAATACCAGTGGCCAATGATGGCAATTTGTTGGGCAGGACAGCCTAGAAATATAAGAGCTTCTGTTCTTTAGTACATTAACCAGGCATTGACATTTATTGTCTCTTATGATATAGTAGAGGTGTCTTAATTACAAATAAAAAACACCATTTTAAAGATGTCTTTTATATGGATTTCTCTGTACCATTTCTCTCTGCCTAGAGTCAACGGTCCTATCCAGTAATGGAATACGGAGGACATGGATTCCTGTTTTGGACCGAGGTGGATTTTAAATTTGGAACAGTTAAAGTCTTGCTGCTGTGGACATGGGAGTTTTTCTAGCACTTTGAGGAAACAACTGAATTTTCTATTTGTGATATGGGGGGTAGAGGGAGTATTTAAAATCTGTCCCAGTTTAGTCTTCCAAAGTAAAGTGAAAGAGGGATGGCGGTGTTGGGGGTAGGACAATTTTCCAGATGAGACAAATAAAGACTCAGTTTTGAAGACATAGAAGGTTTTCCATTTTGCCTGTTTGTACAATAAAGACAAGAGCCTGGGTTATTATTGCAAAGACATTCCTGTTTCCCTGAGTTTTAATCTCCCACTTTTGGCATTCCTTACCTTTTTGGTTTTGGCTCACCTATTCAGATTTTGGGGTTAGTAAGATTAGTATGTCCCTCTTATGTTTATGTTAATTTTTTGGCTGGTTTGCTTCCTTCTGCATATCATCTTGATCTGCCAAAATTCTGGCTCTTTGAAATGCTCCCCTCTCCTCAGTTTTCTTTGGTCTAACATTGTGGAATCAAGATGCTGTGTGTCAGCCCTGGTTGGCTTTTGGAGCTTGCTAAATTCAATCTCCAGGCTTTGTAAGTCTCTGCTTTATTGGCATGGGACATAGAGCTCCACTGCTTTCAAGTTCGTGGATTTTACTTGCTAGCTATAAATTATTTGCTTTTTATTAAACTTCAAGGGGTCTAACTGTTTGGTGAGAGACGGGTGTCTGATAAACACTAAGTCACTATTCACCACAGATAAGGAATAGTTGTTTTTTTCTTCTTTAAAAAAAAATATCTTTATTGATTTCAGAGAGAGGAAGGAAGAGGGAGAGAGAGAGATAGAAACATCAATGATGAGAGAGTCATTGACCGGCTGCCTCCTGCACGCCCCTGACTGGGGGTCGAGCCCACAACCTGGGCAGGTGCTCTGACGGGAATTGAACCCCAATCGCCTGGATCCTAGGCCGATGCTCAACCGCCGAGCCATGCCCGGCCAGGCTTTTCTTTATTTCTTTAAAGTAGCTCAAAGATAGTATCGCCTGCCTGGGGAGGTGGTGGGTTTCTCTTCTTTAGGAGGTGGTAGGTCTCAGCTGGATGAAAACTTCGCTAAGATATTTTTGGGCTCTAGATAACCTTTAACCTTCCTTCTTATCTTGAGAAGCCACAATTCTGAGTACATCTGTGACAATAACCAGATAATAAGTAACGTGATCACAGTAGTCCTCCCGGTTATTCACGGGGATATGTTCTAAGACCTCCAGTGGGTGTCTAAAACCACAGATAGCACTGAACATTATATATACTGATTTTTTCCTATACATACATACCTATGATAAAGTTTAATTTATAAATTAGGCACAGTAAGAGGTTAACAACAACAGTGATAAAAGAAAGCAATTATAACAATATATTGTTATGTAAGTTATGTGAGTATGGTCTTTCTCTGTCTGATAACTGGTTTGATAACAGAGATGATGCCTAAGTGATTAATTGAGGGGGGGTAAGGTTTATTGCTTGGGTATGCTGAACTAAGTCCCGGCAGGACGAAGCACCAGGGTAGGAAATTTCATCACGCTATTCAGAATGGTATGCAATTTAAAAGTTATGACTTGTTGATTTCTGGAATTTTCCATTTAATATTTTCCAATCAAGATTGACCACTGGTAACTGAAACCACAGAAAGTGAAACCGCAGATAATGGGGGACTACTGTGTTTAAGATACAGTTAGATGATAATACTATTTGCCATTAATGAGCAATGATCAACTCCATTATTAGGATAAATGACAGTATCATAAAATTAGAAATTATATTGTAGGTTCTGTTTTCCATCTATGGCTCAGAGACTGTCTCTTGCTAAGATCTTCATCTCATACAGGTTGTGATTGCACAAACGAAACTTTATAAAAATCTGGACTGTACGAGCTTGTTTTTAGATTTAAACATTTTCCGCCATTTGGAGATTAGAAAAATGGCCCTCCCTTTCCAAATCCAAATCAACTATAGTCATTCCTAACTCTTAAATTTTTTTCTATTTAAGATCGCTTAGGAAAGATTTAGTTATTTTCCTTTTGATGTCAATTTTCATGAAGTATAAACATGTAAGAGAATATGAAACGTTAGAACTTATAGCTCATATTTATACTATGTATTATGTGTAAACCATTCATATGCAACATAATTCCAATTGTGTAGATATTGAATTAACAATAGCTACCATTTTGGAATACTTAGTGTGTGGATGTGGGGTTCAGGGTTAAGTCCCCCCCCTTTTTTTAATATATCTTTATTGATTTCAGAGAGAGGAAGGGAGAGGGAGAGATTGAAACATCAATGATGAGAGAGTCATTGATCAGCTGCCTCCTGCACTCCCCCACCGGGGACTGAGCCCACAACCCGGGCATGTGCCCTGACCAGGAATCGAACTGCGAGCTCCTGGATCCTAGGTCGATGCTCAACCTCTGAGCCAAGTCTGGCTGGGCCGAGTTAAGTCCTTTTTGAAAAATGAAGACAGGCCCTACAAATCACAGACTTAGCATCTGGCAAACCAACTAAAATGTGCTGAAAGTCATATTGGCGTTGCTTAGAAACATGTGTTAGTCGATGGTAAACGTTTGCTACATATCTCTTGCTCCAGACTGTACATTACAACAGTTATTAAACCAGGTCTGCTCAACATCTCATTTTGGCTCCATTCCAATTTTCTTCCACTTCTTGTAGTATACAGCAGAGTGAAACTAATTGGAGGTCTGTTAAAATAAAGTCTATTATGTATATATATTAATGCAAGTATATATATATATATACCCATATATAACTTACGTATATATATAAAATTTGTGTGCTAGCCCTTCAAATATTGACACCAACAGATACATATTCTTAGAAATTGAGTTTTGTTTTAATCTATTTTCTAACATCACATAACTTACATTTTTAGATTTTGAGTTTTAGTATTATGCTGAGAAGTGCTACATAAACACCATGGAAAGAAATACATGTTTTGGTAAACATCTAAAATATTTATACCTGTTATCTTGCAGCTTAAATCAGCCTAATATGTACCCCACACATGGCAAACAGGCTGGACTGAAAGCTACCCTCGCAGGAGGGAAGGGAGTTTCCTGAAGCGGAGAAAGCCCTGTCCCTGTCTCTGTAGGCACATTAGCCCTGGGACACAGTGGGTCTCAGGGAAAGTAGCCTCCCAGAGGAGCCTGGGAAGGGTGACCCGTATGCTTCTGTGATGTGCAGGAGAGTCCTTCTGCTTTGAGGGAAAGATGGGAAAAGGCTCTTTTCTTTCAGGTTTCCTGGGTGGGAGAAATCCCAAACAGTGGTGACCCACAATCCACCTCTAGCTTTCTTAGCAAAATGCCAAAGCCCTGTCCTAAATCTCAGACAGCTGGTGGGCTGGCAGGTGCACACAGTGGCATTTCCAGCCACCTTGTTTTATTAATGGTATATATGAACAATTAAGGCTTTCATTAAATATATAAGAACTCTGCACCTAGTGTGAGGTTGCAGGAAAAAGATCCTTGGTAAAGTTTACTTTTCTTGGCATTGTTAGGGAACGTTCTATTCTGTGCAAGCAAGTTTTTAGATTTCCAACACATAGTAATTTAATTGGCATACATAAAAATTATAATCACTTTATTGGGAAACATTTCCAAGAATGATTAGTCTCTGATTTTGAACTTAACAGAGTGACCCAGTTTAATCTCCCTGGGAGGGTCCAGAGTTTCATGATGGGGAGATCAGGTACTTCTCTGTGCTGGGTGAAGCTAGCTCCCAGAGGTGCGGTGACCCTCACATTTGGAGCACTTACATCTGCTTGCTTCTTACAGATTTTCTGTTCTTCCCCTTGTTAGTCTTTCACTGCCTCTTCCTGTTGTAGTGCTTGTTCTATCAGCCTACCTCTATGCTTGCTGTTTAATCTTCAAGGAATTGTGAAACTACCAAAATTTTCTCTAAATTAAGAAAAGTTCACGCATAGGTCTCGAGAGGCTCGCTGAGGACAGCACATACACTGTTGTCGATTTTAACAGCCCAGAGGTTGCCTGCTTCCCTGTTTGTAGGTTTCCACTGAATCAGAGTTGCTACACATTTGGTCATAGGTTAAGTATAAACACAAAAGCAACAGGTATTTTGTGCCATTATTTTGGGGGGAAAAGCCCAAGGCTGCACTTTATTGCTTCCAAAGGTATTTTCCTGTAAGGAATCTAATTATGGAGTGAATCGCTACTCTGTTCTAAATTGTTGAGATTGCCAGATAAGTTGACTCTGGATAAGTGGGATGTTTTGACTCTCCTTGATTTAGTCATTTCACAACAGGAAACACATACATCTGGATTCATATAGGAAAAAGGCGTGCTTTTTTTATGTCAAGCACTGGACTGACATTATCACATAGGTCTTCACAAAATTTCTCAGGGTGTAATAATTCTTCGTCCATTATATTGATGAATAAATGTACCCCAGGTTATTGTTATGGGCTCAGTGGCTTCCCTCCAAAATCCATGTCTTGGAGTCCTAATCCCTAGTACCTTAAAAGGTGACCCTATTTGGAGATAAGGTCTTACAGAGGTAATCAGGTTACAATGAGTCCACTGGGGTGGGTCCTCATTCAGTATGACTGGAGTTCTCAAAAGAGAAAATTTGGACAAAGATATGTACAAAGGAAGACAATGTGAAGACTCAGGGAGAACACGGCCATCTACAAACCAAGGAAACAGGCCAGCAACACATCTTTTTCTCATGGACCTCATAAAGAGCCAATGCTGCCATCTTCTTGACTTTGGACTTCTAGCCTCAGAACTGTGAGGCAACGCATTTCTGTGATACCTTGTTATAGCGGCCCTAGCGAATTAAGTCACATAGGTAGTTCGGGACAAAACTAGAATTCAAAATGAGGTCTAATGCTCAAGCTTCTGCATGGTCTTTAATCTTTTCTCTGTGGTTCTGTGTGATCTGGGCAGAAACAACTGGTCAGTCTGGAGTTGGGCAGTGGCAATGGGAAGGACACGCTCCCTCTGCACTTGTTCACAGGTAGAGAAGGAGCCCCGTGATCTCAAGGCCGTGGTGCTGACAATCCCCACTCCCCTGGCTTCCCTTGGAGGGGTGCCCTGGGGAGACTGTGAGGAGTCAGCTCCTGCCTGGAGGGAGCCTGGGGCTGTTTTTCCTTAAGCATGACTGCTGCCACTGTTTTAAAAACTCCCTTTTATTGGCTCTGTTTTCCCCCACTAGGGGTGGCATGAAAAAAGTGAGAGCTTGTGGATGCAGGCAAATTGTAATATCTTGACCAATTCCCTTTTAGGAAATAAGGGGAGACACAATGATCAGAAAGACAAGCTTCATCCATTAAAGAGGAAATAATCAGAAGCTTGGGGGAAGATAAATGTGCTCTTCATTCTGATAAGATGCAGAAACTGCTCATTAAGAAAAATCAATGAAGATGACACAAAGAATAAATCATCTGACAGGTTGAAAACCCTTTAAGGTCATATGATTTTCACTCCAATAGACGGAAGAGGTAAATACTTCACTTGGGCACATCCACCTCTTCAGGAGCACACATTAGAAACCAAATTGGAGCCATCAGTTTAAAAAGAAATCTTTAAATCTTTACAAACATTCTAAATGTATCGACTGAGAGGTGATACTGTCAGAATTATTATTTGGTCATAAAGACCTAACTGGCCTAAAACTCTCAGGTTAAGCGTCTCCAAGAGAAGACTGTGTTTTATAAATTATCCATGTAGATCTATGCAGAAAAGTCAACATTATATCAGACAAATTATATTCACAAGTGATCTAAGTATGTTCCTGGGCATATCAGTTTGTGCAAGCTCACACTAATAAACCTCTAAGATCTAACGTAAACTGCTTTAATTTTGCAAAGATACTCACGGCAGGAAGTGCAAAGAAAGAAATGCCAAGGAGCGCAAAGCCTGCAGAAAGCAATCTTCCCAGCCAAGTTAGGGGAGTTTTGTCTCCATAGCCAATCGTTGTCAATGTAATCTAAAAACAAAATAAATAGAATGTGCAGCTTAAGTACGTGAGAGGAAAGTCAGGACCTATGAACAGGAGGCAAAGCAACGTTTCCACTAAATCATTATTCAACAAGTCTTGTTGGCGCATTTTATTACCGTGCTTTAATTTTCCATGACGCATAACAGAGCTTCTCTTTGTTTAAGATAGGGAATAACCTACATACTTGTTCCTTCTTTATAACACAATTTTCCATCTTTTCTAAGTGCATTCAAAGAAAGGTTATTTAAGTAAGTGGATAACCATCAGTGATACAGAAATGATAGCACCATGGATTTAGGGCTGAATCAGTACACAAACAGTAACTTATGTTAATTACGGCTGTTCCTTTATTGCCTTGGCAGACATTTCCTGAAGGTCTAGTGTGTGCAAGGTACGTGCTATGATTTGTAGCGGAACAAAAACAAGAGGTACACAGTTCTTGTCCTGATATATTTATGGCACAAGAGGGGAGACATGTCACACACATATCACTAAAACACAAAAAGGCAAGACAAGCATTATTATGGATGCACAATTAATTTGTCATGGGAGTTCAGAGAACAGATTACTACCCACTTGGGGGGATTGAAGAGACTTTATTGGGGAGATGTCATTATACCTAGGCTTTGAAGGAGTAATATTTTGCGAGGCAGAATTGATAAAGAAGGTGATCTGGTGGGGGGATCAGGTGACCAGCCGCACATCAGTGAGAACAAATAGGGTAGGTTCTGGAAAGTGTAAGTTGTTCAGTTGGGCTGGCGCATGGTGGGTCTGAGGAGGATTAGTGAAAGGGAAGGTTAACCAGATCGGGGAGTGCCTTTGAAAAACGATACTTATATCATCTTTCTCCCGTGGTCCAACTGCTTCAGGGGCTTCCCGTGTCTCTTAGAACAGCCCCAGCTCCTCTCCAGGGCCTATGAGCTTCTGCAAGACCTGGCCGAATGGAGGGCAGCTGAACTGGAACAATGGGAGTGGGGCTGTGTGGGAGTGGGCGGTAAAGAGGCGTGTTTCGGAAGTTCAACGGGAGTACATTTATGGTCCGCCTGCAAGGAAGGGGCAGACGAGGTCAGCAAGGACCTGACAACTTCAAGGGGAAGATGGTGGCACCATAAATAAAAATATAATAGTGAGGAAGAGAAAGCTTTGGAGCAAAGATGAAGAGTTTGATTTTGCAAGGAAGGGTTTTTGTTTTAATCTTCACCTGAGGATATCTTTTCCACTGCTTTTCTGAGAGAGTAGAATGGAGAGAGAGAAACACTGATGTGAGAGAGATACATCGATGGGCTGCCTCCTGCACACACCCCGACGGGGGCCGGGGATCGAGCCAGCAACCAAGGTACTTGCCCTTGGCTAGAATCGAACCCAGGATCCTTCAGTCTGCAGGCCGATGCTCTAGCCACTGAGCCGAACCAGCTAGAGCAAGAAAGGGTTTTTAAAATGTCAATATGACTCTGATCTAGAAATGTTGAGCAGGAAATTGAGTCTTGAGAGAAGAGAGAGATTATCAAGTTTGGCATGAGATTTGTGTTTTAGATTCAGGCATAAGGTGATGGTTCAAGTTTTGTGAATAAATGAGATTGCAAAGCATTAAAAAAGGGCCCCAGCCTTGTCAGGTGTGGCTCAGCAGTTGAGCGTTGACCTAGGATCCAGGAGACTGAGGTTTGGTTCCTGGTCAGGGCACATGCCTGGGTGGTGGGCTCGATCCCCAATTGGGGGCATGCAGGAGGCAGCTGATCAATGACTCTCTCATCATTGATGTTTCTATCTCTCTCTCCTTCTCCCTTTCTCTCTCTGAAATCAATAAAGATATATATATATATATACATATTTTTAAAGGGCCCCAAAGTTACCTCAGGAAACACAGACATTTAAGGGACAGAAGGGAAAGTAAAATCAAAGAATAATAATTTTTAAAAAAATATGTTTTTATTGATTTCAGAGAGATATGTTTTTATTGATTTCAGAGAGAGGAAGGGAGAAGGAGAGATAGAAACATCAATGATGAGAGTCACTGATTGGCTGCCTCTTGCACGCCCCCTACTGGGGATCAAGCCCGAAACTCAGGCATGTGCCCTGACTGGGAATTGAACTGTGACCTCATGGTTCATGGGTCGACACTCAACCACTAAGCAACACCGGCCGGGTAAAGAATAATAATTTTTAAAAAAATAAGAGAACTAGGAATGAGTAATACAAATGGCAACTTAATGGAGAAGAGAGTTTCACAAAGGACCAGGCGATCCCTGATGTCACAGGCTCATAGACAACAAAGAGAATGAAGACTGAGAAAAGATATTGATATAGGGATAGAAGGTCACTGGTGATTTCTAAGTAAGTGGCTGCTTTGGTCATGTCATCTTACCAGAGCACCATCATTTATCCAGCTGCTCATGCCAGAAGCCTCAGAGTCATCCTAATTGCTCCTTTCCCTCATTTCTCTCACTGAATCAATCAGCAAGTCCCATTGATTTTGTCTCCCAAAGATACTGCAAACGCATCCTTGTCACTCTGTCTTCATGCCTCTTAATTGCTCTCTCAGTTTTTGCTCTTGCCTCCCTCCAGTTCCTTCTCCACACACCCGCAAGGGGTATCATTTTCTTATTGCCCTCTAAAAATCCTTCAATGGCTACTCATTGAATTCAGAATAAATTCTAAGTTCCTAACTATGGCCTACATGATCTGGTCTCCACCTACTTCCCCAAGAGCATCCTGATTTCACCCTTGCTCACTATGCTTTAACCACAGTGTCCTTGCAGCTCCTCAATAGGTGGGGCTATTTCTGCCTCAGGGTCTTTGCACATCCTATTCCCTCAGCCAGAATTGCTCTTCTCCCCACTCTTCTCAAGGTTCTTTCTTATCCTTCAGATCTTTTCCAAAAGACCCCGCCATCAGACAGGCCTTCCTTACCCACTTTGTCTATCATAGGACCTCTGTTCATCTCAATTTCAGATCCTTGTTTCTTAATAGCACTTGTCATAAGTGGTAGTTTGCTGTATTTTTCTTTGGTGGAAGAGTCCTTATTTCCTTTACTAGAAGGAGAAATCATGTCTTTACTCTTTGTTATCTCCCTAACATTTAGCATAATGGTTGCCACACAGTAGAAGGAGCTCAATGAATATTTCGTAAATGAATGAAGAATCCTTTCAAGAATATTGGCGACAAACGGAGTGAGAAATATAGGACAAGAACTCCCTGAGGGGAGGCTTTCTAGGATGTATTTGTGCATGTTTGCAGAGAGGATGCGACTGAAGAGGGAAGGGGTGGTGGCTTTATGATGGGGTAAGGTGCTCAAGGAGGCAGAGGAGATAGAATCAAGGGCACAGTTGGAAGGGTTAGCCTTGGCAGTGTGGAAAGACACCTTTTGCACCCTGGGGAGAAGGTGTGGACACAGTGTGAGTGGAGGGCAGGATTGGGAATGTTTTAGTCAGTTCCCTTCAATTCCAGTGAAGGAGAGGATGGGATTATCTGTGGGGAGGAAAAGGCTTGTAACAAAAGAAAAGACTTGGGCTGTGAGGGTGTGAGAGGGTGAGGGGGTGTCAAGTACAAATCAACAAGATGGGGAGGAAGGTCATCCAAGGTTGAAGAGAGGGACTTTGTAGTGGAAACTAGTAACCAAGTTAATCAAATGCCATCAACAACATCAATAGGGGACTCTCAAAGGGATTCCTTGGGATTGCAGAAAAAATAATTCTGGCCCAATTTTATTACAGGCTCTTAATCTTAAATATATGAAAAATATTTTAATCCACTGCACTTTTTCCTCCAAAATAGCTTAATCCTTTTATAGCAGTTTATTAATAATGATAAACTGAAGGGAAAATTTCATGATCTGGTCACAGCAATACCGTCACAATTCACGGGTTGCTTTACACTCTAATAATTCATTTGACTTGTTCTCGTGGGCCCAGGGCTCAGCGAGCGGGTTTTAAACCACTGCCTCTAACTCGGAAGAATGAGACCTGGCAAGGTGACGACGTGCCCAGCGTTGCGTTCTGAGTAGAGCAGGGCTCCTGCTCTCTCATGCACAGAGGGTCACCCTCAGTCCTACGGGGTGGCTTGGGGAGAAGAGAGCGCTGTGGACTCGGAGAGCGGCACCCCGGATCCCTCTGGGGGCAGTGACGACTTTGCCCACTGTCTGCACTCTGCCTCAGGCTCTGGACTGGCCAGCAGATGGGCTGGCCGCAGCAACGTCCTCCGCTCTGATTTCGAAGTCACTCAGGGTGTTGCTTGGTTGAAAGCATAGGGGTCCTTTGTTGTCAGGCTAGGTTTGAGAAAGATCTGTCAAGAGTGGCAGTTTGTCTCTGTGCCAGGGAGGGGGTTGGTGGCGGTTTCCTGGGGCTGAAAGGAGACCAGAGGGCTTTCTGATGTGAACAGAGAGGTAGCACCAGGCATGAAATTAGGACATTTCTAAGATAAACTTACAATAAAAAGATGTGAGCCTTGATGAATTCACACTGGCCCACCTGCTCGATCCAGCTGCCGACTTTCTAAGGAACGACTGGCTTCGTTCAATAAAACCGTCCTCAGGTGAGGCTTGCGTGGATGCTCGCTGATTTTCTGAACTTTCAGGTCAAGCTGTCCTTGAAGCACCAGTGCATCTCCTTGGAACAGTACAACTACATTATGTTTCTTGTCCTAGCACTTGGAAGTCTCCGCTAATGGTTATCGGCGGGTCCTTCACGCACGAACTGAATAGCAGAAGCCCTTTTGGTGCTTATTGTCCCATAGTTATGCTAAACAATAGACCTGTTTCTGTCTCCCAGAAATCTGGTGAATCTTTCAGTGGCTGAACCCAGTAATGATTACTTCCATTTGGATCTAAAGTTAGAGAAAGGTAGGCTCGCACAGGACCCCAAAGGCACCAGCTCTCCAGGGAGCTCCTGGAACAGCAGCTTGTTTCAGGGAAACTTGAGTGGCCACATATGTGATCTTCAGGGATTGGAGGAAATCACACCTGGAGGAAATAACGCCTGGAGGAAATCCACTAT